GGATCGGGGGCGTCGACCACCTCGTCGGCTTAACCTCCTCGACGCCCACCCCCCACTCCCACGCACCGACACCTGGGTCCCACGTGGGCAGCACCCAGACCCCAAAGGGCCTGCTGCTGGGAGAGCCCCCCACAGGCCTCACCTCTGACGGTCAGGATCACGGCCCCCACCACCATGATGAGCGTCTGCAGGGCGTCTGTGTAGATCACGGCAGCCAGGCCCCCTGTGGGTGGAGACGGGAGCTGGAGGGGGGCCCTGGCCTCTGCCAGGAGGGACAGCTGGTCCACACCCACGTCCCCTACCCTCTCACAGTTGGGAGAGCTGTGGGCCGGCAGAGCCGGCCTCATGAGTCCACTTGTCCGACTCCAGCCGGCCACTTCCCAGGCTGTGGGACGAGGTGGCCCCTGCCTCCCGCCAGCCTCAGTTTCCCAGGTGTGTCCACCGGCCACACCCACGCTCGGGCGGGGGTTCGGGGCACCGCACCTGCGATGGTGTACAGGGCCGTGATGGCGAGCATGAGGACGGTGCACAGGTAGAAGTCCCAGCCCAGGCAGATGTGCACGAAGAGTGCCCCCGCGTACAGGTCCATCTGGGGGTGGGAGAGGAGCCTGTGCAGGGGCCCGGGGGACCGCAGGACCCAGAGCGCCACTTGCCCGCCGTGTGGCCTTGGTGCCTCGTGGACGAGGGAGGGGAGCCCCCCCCACCCACCAGGGGCTGTCATGAGGGGGCGGAGGTCGGGGCTGTGGATGAGTGGTGTGCTGGGGGCGTTGCTGACGTTAGTAATGTCCGAAATGGCCTCTGCCCACCAGGGACCAGCACTGCTGTTCAGTCTGGACCCTGCCTGGGATGGAAAAGAAGGCGCCCTGTGCCCTCAGTGCCCAGGGGTCCTGGAGAAGGAGTCTAGGAGGGCTTCCTGGGGTAGGGGAGGCCCAAGAAGCAGCCAGCCCCTGGTGGATATTTATTCCATTCGGTCCCATGAGGTGTGCTGGGCACATAGTAGCACCGCAGATACATCAGTGAACAAAGGAAAAATGGGGGAGGCAGGAGACATTCTAATTAAATCATCAGCATACCCAAAGTGGTGCGTGTGTGAGAGGGAGAGCAGCTGTGGGCCCTCCGAGAGGGTGAGGGGGCAAGCCATGTGGATACCCAGTAGAAGAGCTTCCTGCCAGAGGACACAGCAAGTGCAAACGCCCTGGGGCAGGGTCATGCCTCGGTGTTCACAGTGTGGCTGGAGTGATGTGTGCAGTGGGAGAAGAGGGGGAGGTGAGGATCCTGTTGGCCACAGCTGGCCTTCACCCTGAGTGCCCTGGGCTGGGAGGACAGTGATGGAGCCCAGTCCCGCCAGCCCGTCTGAGGGTCCGAGCAGTGATCTCTGCCCCCTGCCACCCATCGCATGTTCTCTCTACAGACCAGTGTCCCGGCCTGGGAGGTGGCAGCAGGCAGGCCCTGTGGTCTCCGTTTGGACAGGCTGCAGCTGGGATGTGTCCCGGATATGCAGACATTTGGGGCTTTCCTGGGGCTCCACCCAGTGAGGTCAGGGCCTCTGGGGGCCGGCTGGGCATGTGCACTTCAAACAGCTTCAGCCCCAAGCCACCAGCCAGGGGGCCCCAGTCCCTCCCAGACTGATCCCAGCAATTAGCTTTCCTCCTGTTTCCCTCCTGGCTTCGTCCAGGCAGCCCTGGCATCAGCGCTGAAGCCCCGGCCTTGAGATCAATGGGTTGTCCCTATTTTATAGATGGGGACACTGAGTCACCCCATCACGAAGTGGAGTCTGAAGTGCACGTCCTGGCGGCCTCAGCACTGAGGGGCAGTGGCTGGGCCCATTCGGCTCTAAGTTTGGTCTCTGCCGGATTTGCCACAACCTTGAGCAAGTGACAGCCGCTCCCTTGGTCTCAGTCGTCTCTTAATGGGGCTGGGCACAAGCTGGCTTGTAAGGGCCCTTCCCACTCAGGCCCCTGCCATTCTGGGAGTCCCACCCAAGCTCTAGTGTGAGGTGTGGACTGTGCGGCAGAGCCGTCAACAGGACGGAACCCTGCGCCCAGGTGTCGACCTCGCAGGACTGCACCCGGGCCTCCCCTCCCTCACCTCTGTCCCCTCCAGCTCATCCTCTGGGAGGCGCCAGAGGCACCAGCACAAGCCTGGCTGTGCCACGCCCCTGCGCAAGGCCCCAGGGCCCCTGGGCACTGCTGTCCCTTCCGATCAGGACCCCCGGCCTCGTCTCTCACTGCAGCCCTCTGCAGACCACTTCTGAGCCCTCGCAGGGAGCTGCAGCTGGACAGGCTGGACAGATCAGGAGGGAAAACCGGAGGCCTGGTGCTGCCATGGAGCCCTGCAAGGCTGCGGACCAGCTCCTTGCCCTCCTGGCCTCAGGGCACTGCAGGCTCCCCCTAGTGGTGGAGCTGAACCACCTGACCACCACCGGTGGGAGGCGGTCGAGCCAGTAGACTGCAGGTGCCGGGCGCCCTCTAGTGGGCGGTCCTGGCTCACCTGGTGCCGGCCCAGACCCAGAACTCCGACACCCTGTATCCAGAAGCCCCGCAAAGCAGGAGTCACGAGACCTGTGTTCTCCCCAAACGTGTGCCCACTGCTGAGCCCCGCCCCCAGTGCCCTGGACCAGCTGTGTGGCCCTAGACAAGTCAGTGTGCCTCTCTGGGCCTCAGTTTCCCCAGCTGTTAGACGAGGCAGAGACAGGAGAGATGTGAGGGTCCCTCCCAGGGGCCCCGGAGCAGGACGTTCCAGCTAAGCTGGCCGGAGGCTGGAGGGAGCAGCTCACCGATATCTTGGTGAAGACGGACAGCAGCAGCGACAGGACTGACAGGTACATGCGAATCCGCCAGCCTCCGTAGCGCTTCTGGATGTATTCAGGCATGGTGACAATCTGGAGGGGCAGGGGCAGGGGCTGAGCACTCCCCCGAGACCACGGCCAGAGTTCGGGGCCAGCAGCTTCTCGAGGGCAAGGCCCTGGCCTGCTTCCCAGCACCGTGAGCAGCGGGCCTTGCGTTCCAGGCGCAGGGTTCCGACCGCATCCTGAGGGGCTCAGGAGGGGAGAGGAGGCCAAAGGCAGGAAGGGTGGGCTGGAAGGGCTGCGTCTGGGGACAGAGGGACAAGTCTGGAGGCCATGAAGACACATCCGGATGAGCTCTGGCTGGACAGGGAAGGAGGTGGCTGTGACAGACTGCGACCTCCAGGAAATGGGGTCCTCTGGACTCAGTGACTGCCTAGCGGGGCTGGAGGAGTGGCAGAGTCAAGGACAGCGTCGTGCAGGTGTGCTGCCCAGGTGTGCAGCCTGTGTGCTCAGGCAGACGGAGCACCCCCCCCACCGGAGGCCGCACAGAGGCGCAGTAGAAACCAACACGCAAGGCACCGCCGCCGAGGTCCAGGGGACCTGACTTGGCAGGTTGATAGGGGTTAGCTGTACCAGTGATGAACCCAGACCTGAGAGCTGTGGCTTCACTCACCCCCTTGGGAGTGAAGCCAGGGGTCCTGCCCAGCATCACCCCAACTCCAACCAACGCCAGACCCAGGGGGGCCGACCCAAGGCCCAGGAGCAGACTCACCTCAGAGGAGACGTAGATGGGCACGAACACCCACGCCAGGGCCAGCAGCACGTAGGTGGCCTGAGGGGAACAGAGGCGGAGTGAGGGCCGCAGATGCAGAGACGCAGCTGGACCACCGGGTCTGCAGGCCTGACTTCCCATGAGAGCCCCATCCCCTCCTGGCACCTCCGGAAGCAGATGGCCAGGCCAAAGCCAATGGCTCCCTCCCCGCTGGTCTCTGGCGTTGTGAAGACCAGACTTCCCCAGGAACACTGCCCGCCTGGACACCGGCTGCCCCGGCTGCTGGGAGCTGCCCCTCTGGCCATCGAGGGGTAGGCTGAGGGAGCTCCATCCAGCGCCT